GAATAGAAGCTAGTCTGATCACTTATCGGGACTGGCAGACCCGCTTATAGGATTACTCGGATATTTTTTATTGATTTACATGGACGGGTTTTCCAAAGCAACTTTTTTCATTTTTAGATAAAAGTCATTCTTCTACTTTCTGTCAATCACAATACGAAGAAAAAACCGACACTAGTCACATTCTGTGACATTCGGGTTCCAATTATTGTCGGATGAAAAGGTCGGAGAAAGCTCGTCTAGCGGAGACTGAGAACTGATGGATACAGATCTAGATGATTCTGAACCTTTGGATTTCAAAGACAAGATTATGTGGAATGATTTAGCAGACTGCTTTGAATTGTGTAGCTCAAAGCGTGCAATAAAGTTTCTTAGGTAAAATTATTGAAACGATGTGTGGCGAATAGTACTTGAGCGTTTCACTATTTAGTGTACTTCTTTACATGACAGACATTTCGGCGTTAAATGGTTTGATTGACTCTCCTCTCATTCGTTCTCCGGCTTCGTGTCGTATTGATCTCAGGCGGTGGAGCAGAATGGAACTAGACCTTACTTTGAAGGTCATGAACGTCCAGAGGTTCAACAGCATCGTGCTCAATTTATTGATTTCTTTCTTCAACAAAAAGATCAGTACTATCCTATCACCGAAGGCGATACACCAATGTAGAAACTGCCAACAAAATCTCCTCCTATAATTTTATTGTGTAAGTAAGAAGTTCGAACTTCAAATTCTACTTCGTTTTCATCTGCAGTTCATGATGAGTCGACTTTCAAATCCGGAGAGGTCAGTGCAAAACTTTGGTTTTATGGTGATCAAGCTCCATTGCACAGCAAGAGGCGAGGATGATCTGAAATGGTTAGCGATTATCTGGTTCAGCATCCATCCGGGCCCTTCTTTGAATTGAGTGAGAGTGAATTTGATGAAGCATCGAGAAAGTTCCCTGAATGTAAGTCTTTTCAGTCAGTTTTGATGTGTCGGCTTTCCCTTCACTGTTTTCTTGCGGAATTTTAGTGTTAGCACCCACTGACATTGATTATATTGATCGTACAGGTACGGCATCGATTCAGGTTGGAAAAGATGCCTACTTTCATAACCAGACAATATTAAGTCAGTTTGAAAGGTTATTCCAATTAATAAAATTTAAAACTGAATTCGAAGGTAAGTTTCTTAATGCGCAAGTAAACATCTGTTCATAACCAATCAATTTCTAGGACATGATATTCATATCATAGTTGATAATGCGCGAACGCATAGCGCCAAGTCTCATTCAGTCACTGATTTTGGAAAATCTATTGGAACTCGTTGAAAGTTGAATCAATTGAATATCGTGATTCACAAGATGTCAAACATGTAATTGATTGTTACTTCCGTAAAGGACCAAACAAGAATTATAGTAAAGGTTTGCTAGAAATTGCGCAAGAGCATACAGTACTATCTTCAACTTCAAATTCGAAGTTGTCAGAATTACAAACAATTTTATCACAACATCCTGCTTTTGGAAATGTGACACTTGACACTTCGACCTTATAATAAACCCGTTCTCTTTGTCACAAGTTGTAGACTTCACGTCTTGAATAACTAGAAGATTCTTATGGTGCCAAGGTGATTTTTTGCCCGAAATTTCATTCAGAACTGAACGCAATTGTAGGTTTATGGTGTAGTCAGAAGAGATGTGTAAGATCATGTACTGATCAAAATTACGAAACAATCATTCGTTTAATCGATCAATCACGTGGTAGGTTGTGAGTCGCAGCAAAACTTTCAGACGTAGCTTATCTCATTAAAATTATGCCGTTGCCCGCTAAAAATAAGTACTCTTCATTCACACACTCTCACTATTCACATCTAGTTTATTTCAATGATAAGCGTTTGGATTTAAAGCTTTTTCGAAGATTTTGGCGTTGCTTGGAAGCTTATACAAGCGGTCAAACGTATGAACAAGCTTTAAAAATGTTTTTTTAGTGATTTGGCAAGTGGAACAATTCAAGTTCATCCTCGAATCAGTAACTCTAACTTAGATGACGATTAAACAGTTGTTCTAACGTAAATACTCTTTTCCTCTATTTGTCTTCATCGTGAGCGTTGATGAGAATTTGATAATAAAAGGGTGTGATAGTCGGATAGCAAATAATTCAAGTTAATACAGCGCATTAACCTCTAGAGCGGCAAAAAACGCGTACTTAGCTCGCAAGACAGCCATTGAATGATAAAGCCAGTCTCGATAACTGGTCAGACTAGCTTCTATTA